CACCAGGATCTCCGAGAATCCGAGTCTACTGGGGACAACGAGATAATTACGAAGGTAATTACAGTAGAACAATAGCGTATAATATGAAATTGAAATAGATAGTACTTAGTGCTTTTTGTTAAGGCAAAGTCTTTCAGTCAAGAAAAAGAAATACGGACTTGATCCTGTTTTGCGGAATAACAATAATACAAAGTTCCCAAATTCACCTCAGAAATGGATCAACAACAAAAATAGTATCAGGACGACAAAAGAAAATCGGCAATTTCTTTTAAAGGCCCACTGCACTACTTGTAGCTACTTGCGCCCTCTATATAACAAACAATGCCTAATCGGTGACCATTGGTCCCCCATAATCCTCTTTTTCTTATGTTAACTGAGAGCAGAGTTGATGAGATAACCACCTGTCCAGTGACCTTGCAGGGCAGTCTAATCCGTCCTGTAAACTACGGCAGATAAGCTTTAAGCCTGACGGAATCAGAATTGTGGAATAAAGTCATTATTTACCTTATCGATATGTTGACAGAGGTATAGATTATGAGTAACCAGACGATGTCAACATTATATTCTCAGTGTCGCCAGTACTTCATATGTGGTGGAACTTTTCGTGGCAGAACAGATCATCATCACAAAATAAAGAGGAGTAGGAGAAATATAATATCCTGGCAGAATATCTACAATTATTTCACTTAGTTCCAGTACATACAATTTTTTCATTTAAACCTTCCATTATGATATTATAAGAAGTACTTTTGTACAATCTTTATCGCAATTTCTTATCATATAAAACAAAAACTTGTATCTCTGTTTGCGCTTCGAGTAATTAGCTATCGGAAGCTTTTGAAAAAAGGAACAAAATTTCGTCATTTAAACGACTGATTGCTAAACCGGATATTCGTAGAATTGAAGTGTTGGCAGGTTTAAATGGATAAAAAGCATTAAAAATTCAACCTCACTGTAACTAATGACTTCCTTTGAATTCAAGGTAGGCTTAAATTATGATGTTATAGTTTGACATGGCATAAGCTGAGAAAATTGTGGGTTTTTTTTTCATCGGGAAGTATTGTGCCATTATGCTCGGATGCAGTAAAGCGGAAGTTTGACATTTGATACCAAAGAAATTTAGGGAGAAAAAAGTTTTGTAGATCAATTATAGAAGATAAAAAATCTTCCAAAACTTTCTACTTCTTGATATTTTTGGAAGCACAAATCCCTCTTTATAAGATGCTTGAGGTTATACTTAATTTTTAAGGCATGTGAATTAATTTGTGTTTTATTATTAATTCTCTTTCTGATACGAAACAGATCATCTTTACAGGTATAGGATTCTATTCACATGGATGTAACAGACCGATAGTTATGAGAAGAAAGTCATAACAGAAATCTATAGATGCAAAATATGACCGACATTTATTTCGTGGAGAGAGAAAGAGGGAAAGATGGGTGTAGAAGGGAAGTTGGGATATCATATATATATATATATATATATATATATATATATATATATATATATATATGTATATATGTAGAGAGAGCAATGCGGAGAGAAAGAAGGAGAGAGAGAAAGAAGGAGAGAGAGAGAGAGAAGAAAAAGAAAGAGAGGAAGAGAGAGAGAGAGAGAAAGCGAGAGAGACAGAGGAGAGAAAGGTATAGGAGGAAGATAGTGAGTACGGAGCTACGGAAAAAAGAGGGAAAGTGGGAGGGAAGAAATGAAAACATAATGAGAGAGAGAGAGAGAGAGAGAGAGAGAGAGAGACGAAGAAAAGGAAGAAGAAGAAGAAGAAGAAGAAGAAGAAGAAGAAGAAGAAGAAGAAGAAGAAGAAGAAGAAAGAGAGAGGGAAGTGTTGGAAGGGGCAACAGCAGGTGTAAGATGAAAATGATTATTGTTGATTATAGATATTACATCTAAAGAGGGAGCTTTTCAAAATATTAGCGGGGGTGTCATTGACTATTTGAATGTACTATGCTGTTATGGAAGTCTGAAGTACGGTCAACATAAGTGCAAATGCGTAAGAAGAAAATATTACAATAATTAAATCGCGATTAAAGCCTGAAGAGATGTAATATTCGTCATTCTTTCTGGTGGCATGAAAGGCAAAAATGCGCAATTGTGATTTCAATTTTCAGTCCGTGTGTGTATTTCAAGAGCTCATGACTACTTATAAATTTGTTTGATATGGTTATCCGCGTACACATGTGTGATATATTATATCATTTTATTGATATACATTTTCTATTTTTGATTATTAAAGTTAGAAGAAAATAAGCTTCAATTCACTTACATGGATAAACGTTACTTGCGTCACGTCTCCTCCACTCCCTTGCCACTCCCTTTCCTCCTCTCTCTTTCTTTCTCTTTTTTCTCTCACTCTCTCTCTCTCTCTCTCTCTACCTACATTACCTAAATATCTATCTCCCTTCTTAAACGAGAGAGCGAGAGAGAGAGAGAGAGAGAGAGAGAGAGAGGGGGGGCGGGGGGAGATCGAGGGGATCCATAATGATCGATGGTTGGTTTATGTTCTTTCCATATTCAATACATTGCTTTCATTGCGTTGTGTCATATGTTTTTCATTTGTCGCATCAGTATTGATAGCCCAGCAGGTGTTTGGGTATTATGATGAGGTTCAATATTCTTTTCAGTGCCATGGTTACATAGAGTGTAGATAAGGAAGTCATTTTTCTTGTCCGTAGTCGCATAATAGTCGCATTACCCTATGAGCCGTGGGACAAGATTATCGCACATTTTATTAATGCAGTATGGTGAGCAAGTTTTTCCTTATTAGGAGCCACATGTAAAATCATTTTCTCTCACAATATAAGGTATTCTGATAAAAGATTTGAAGAGAAAGATAGTATATGTGAGAAAGAATTTGATCTCCTATAGAGTGAAAACCGATTTGAACTTTAAAAGGCTGTTGTGTTAGAGAAATCAATCATTGTGACAAATGATTTCTATTAAACATGCAACGCCCCCTCCCCCTACCCCCTCCACCGTCTCCTGGACGTGCATGGGTGATATCACCGCAAAACATTGATTATTTTTTAACATTCTATTGGTTGTTCGAAATGCCGAATAAATAATAATAATAAAATACTAGGTTGTGTTTGTTAAAGCCCATCTGCACTAGATTGGCCAGGAGGGATTTGAACTACAATTGTATGCTCACTGGCAGGTGGTCAACTCATCAAATCAGCTCTCAATCAACATAAGAAAAAGGGGAACCATTGGTCATCGATTAGACATTATTCGATATATAGAACCCCCCCCCCCCCCCCCCTCGAAGTCATCCCCTCCATCAAGAAATGATTCAGGTTTTATACCTGGACTTACTCATGTCTGCACTTCCAGACTAGTTTATGCCAGTCTGTCGCAAGATATGAAGTCATAGTAGTGTGCCATCGTCGATCAATATGAACACAAAAGAAACGTTGTCACTTGTTAATAGAATCTGTTTGGTCTTCATTCATACAATATTGATTGATTGTCCCCCTAGTAATGTAGTCGCACCGTGTCACATCCATATGTAGTACTGTCGGCAGTCAATATGCCATTTTCGTAATGTAATCAAATTGCATACATTAGTGGTTGCTACGGAGGACAAACATTATGGCTTGCCCTACCTGGCAACAATTAATGTATGCAATTCGCATTCTGACTATTGAAATACAATTATTCGAAAACAGGTGAATAAAATAATTTGTAACTCGGCACTTAGCAAATATTTGTGCATTAAATTTGATTTGATTACGAAAATGGTCTACATGTATTTAAGTAGATAGTAGCTTGTAAGCACGATGCCAGTCTGGATGGAATGACATAGTCTACTCTCTGAATATATACAGAAGTGGAAATCCATTTTTGGAGTTAGTCATGTTAGGGATCACCTTCTTTTTTGTGGGGGGGGGGGGGCATCCACGCACAGTAGTCGAATCAACAAGAGAGTAATACACCATTTTCGTTATGTAATCACATGTAGTGCATAAAGCATTGTTAAGTGCTACATTACAAATTATTTCATTCATCTGTTACAAATAATATTTCAATAGTCAGAATGCGAAATGCATACATTGTTGCTAGCTAGGACACAAATTATGGCTTGTTCTTCCTAACAGCATAGAATGGTTGCAGTTTGCACTCTGACTATCAAAATAAAATTATTCGTAATAGGTGAATGAAATAATTTGTAACACTGCACTTAACAATGATTTATGATGACATTACGAAAATAGTCTATTACTCTACTGTTGATTCGACTAAACAAAGTGTGGATTCCTCTTCAAACGAAGTGATTTCTAATTATGACTACCAAAAATGGATTCCCAATGATGTATACATATTGCCAGGGCTATACAGTCTTCTTCTTATCGAGTCACTACACAAGTCCCGTCCAGTGGTCCACACAGGTTTTGGCACGGCAATTCACGGCTTCCAGGTCATCTTGGGTGCATGGCTCTGGCAGGAATGGGCAGTACGTGAAGCAGAACAAAATAAAATTATTTAATAAGTTCTTTCAATTTAATTTTTCTATAAATTCACGAGGCTTTTGTCTTTACATAAATATAATGATCTTACATAGTGCTTGGAAGAAATTGGGTCTAATTGACACTCTTGAATACTATCATTTAAGTACTGATTAAGACCTTATAAATCTATAAGTGCGCATATTTTTTTTTTTTTTAAACAGATGTTTCTGCATTTATTGATAAATCAAATATAAAACATTCAAATAAAAATAATAGTATATAATATACTTGATTTATATAAAGAGTGACAACTTAAATACACACACATAAGAATGCATAATTGAAAGCTTTAAAGTATGGATGTAAGTAAAAAATAATCAAGATAAATGCAGAGGCCAACTATCATAAGCAAGAATGCTCGAGTCGGTAGCAGCCGATAATTTTATAACCTTAACATATAACAACAAGAAATGATCCTCCATACCAAGCCCAGTTGAACAGTCGCATGAATTTGATAATCGAAGATGACACGAAAAATATTCATTTAAAGTAAATATCTTCCCACTCATTGTAAATCATGATCGCAGATGTTACAGTATGGTAATATAATGTATGATTATTCTTACATTTCAGGAAACTACTAAAAGAGTGTCGCCCTGATATAAGAAATATATTCAAATACAAGGTCCCAAGATGCATTTTATTGTTAACTTATTGATTATGATGAAAACAATGATGATATGGAAAAAAACTACTTCTACTACTACTACTACTACTACTACTACTACTACTACCACTAGTCCACTACTACCACTACTACTACAAACAAAAAACGGGTTGGAACTATCAATACAAATATTCCACTAATGGATCCTGACTTTATTTTCTTCACCATATTAATAGAAAATAAAAAAAATTGCCACCCAAAAAAACATGATCAAAATATAACGACTGAAATTCGTAAAGGAATAAATGTTTTATCTACAGAGGAGAAAATACAAAAAAACAGTAAGCGTAAATCATAATGAGCATAAATTTTTAAATTGCAAAATGTTACTGTGAGGTACATTGTTATAGTCCAACAACATGATTTAGCACAAGAAAAAACCCATAATGCCTCTAAAGCAAACACACACATCTAAAATTGAAAGGTAGCATGCACAGCCCGAAGTATGCTTCAGGAAATGTCATTGCACACTCAGAACGATATTGCATCAATTTTCTAATGATAAATGACAGGAAATTTTATATTTGGAATCTCATAATATTATTGATCCAAATGTGTATAATCTACAAGTTTGACAAAGTTGTACAAATTGCAAGAAAAATGTAAAATGTCGACTAAGGAGTTGGATTAAAGATGAACAAGATAAAGAAGTAAAACAAAATTCATATGGTTACAATATTTAGAGTCATATAATTCAGCCATAACTTAATATTCACAGCCGTTTTGGAAGAGTAATATTTAATTCCTAGTTCCCTTGGTAAATAACTTTCTATAAGCATGACATCGACAGTGCAATACAAAATTTGAAACAACGTTTCGTCTAGATGAATCCTGTTGATTATGAATATCGTCAATCATGAAGGTTTTCGAGGGTGAAGTCCTCTAAAAACAATCCACTCCGTATGAGCAAAAAAGATAGAAAAATACAACACAAGCATTCACAAACAAATGACGGTGTTTAAATCCTGGAGAGGCAAAGGGGATATTTCCCCTCTTCCCAGCAAAATTCTGGCATACCTTAACTTTCAGACAAGAAAGAGAACAAATCGGGTGAGTCCTGGATGCCCCACTACTTGAGCCTCAAGATGAGTATCACGAAACGTTTCCTTTTTCTTTCATCTTGACTATTGCAAGGTATCAACAGCTTACTGCGAAGAGTTATACTTTCTTTTCGGACGAATACGAGGTCCATAATTATCTCAAGATAATGTCCATGATGGCCCATTACAATGGCGTATCCATTTGTAGAACGTGGGGGGGGGGTACCGTTTAGATGGTTGGTGAGATGAACGAGGAGATCATTGGCAGGCCCGTGTCAGTAGGTTTCCCTTGAAAGCAATACTACAATGTTAATGTGACAGTATCCTAAACAAAATTGACAGAAATGGGAGTGGGGGTGAATCCACTCCAAGTGGGAGCCGCAATGTTTGGCATGTAGTTCCCCGTGACGTAGACGCTTACAAGTGACATGTTTTCTTTCTCAGAGCCCCCAAACAGTGGGTGGAGCCGAACGTACGCCGACTTTATCATCTGCATAATGTACCTGAGCAGCCCCGCGTAACGATGACACTATTCAAAATAAGTTTGGTACTTTTTCCAGGTCCACAAAGGAGGGGGCGTACCCCTGCTCCATCAATAGAGGAACCCTGAGCCTGATAGGAAAGTTTGAAGCTGCATGTTTATCTCATCGGGGTTAACATCCGTCCCCGCACCGGCCATGTTGCCCCCGCCAGGTCCGTGCTCGATAAATGTGTTCCATCGAACATTGAAGATGGCGAGCGGGTCTTCATGGAGTTTTGTCAGACAGGCGATCAGGTACGCGATGTGATCATCGGGCTTGTGGAACAGGATCCCTGCCATCAGACACTGAATGAAGGGGAGGGTGGGGTGAGGAAAGAAAGAAAAAAAAACTGTTCATATATTATAATGCAAACTTTTTTACCCCTTCATTATCACAGCGACTTTTCTAGAATAGGCCTGATAATGCCCCTTCTTTGAAGTATTACAATAATAAATTAGTAATGTACAATCATGACAATCTAATGATAAAAAAATTAAAAGAGAATAGGACAGAAGGAAGGGAAAGGATGAAAAGGGGAGATAACGGTTCCCTCTGTATGCCTCTTATGGGTGACTTCCAAAATAATATTTCTGGATACACCACTATTTTCGCAATCTTAAAGAGTGATCAAAATGGTGAAGAAATTAACGTAAGAGTTAACGTATGAGATTCCCTTCAAAGTCTTTTAAATCAATTATATTTCAATTGAGGATGTATGGCAACTTAATTCTCGCTACCCTAAATAGGTACGAAAATCTCGAAATTCGCGAGACGAGGTAATTTTCACTCTCTCGGGTCGTCACTACAACTTCCGGTATAGAGTCCCATCCCAAGTCACGGCCTTCATCCACCCCCATTTTTCAGGGTTCTTACGCTTGGAATCATGAGCCCAGCACTGTGCAGCCTCACAAAAGAAAACCATCGTCACTGATGTCAAAAGACGCAAAAAACAACGAATGAAATGTTCAAATAAACGTTGAAATATTTGCGAAAAAAAAACAAGACCGAGCAGACGACATATTCGGTGCATACACGTTGTGTGGCGACGGCGTTTTACGTTTGCGCTATCGCGCCTATATAGCGCCTGCACAGGAAGCTGTAATGTCGAAAAGCTATCCCATAATGCAATGCGCGTTTTCAGGATTTTCCCCGGATCTCGGCAGAATCGCTATTTGGGGTAGCGAGAATTAAGGTTGCATGCATTTTGACACGTGTACATACAATACAATCGCAACTTAAATCTATAATGGTGATAATAATAAACCAAAAGTCGTTACAAGATGGGAGTTGTTGCTACCTTGTTTGGCGTTCAACAATAAGGGATAGAGCAACGTCGATCTGGCGCTGCTCAGTGGCTGCCGGGCTCACGATCAATAAATATTGGGCAAAAAGAATTTCCGTTTCGATTTAATAAAATTTGGAGATGACTATTAGGCTATTATTATTATTATTATTATAGATTTATTCTGAATTGAGGTATGGAATTCTCAGCATCTTCTATGCTTCGCATCATTGTTGCCTTGAACATATGCAGCTAATATAATAAAGTTAGGCTACATTCAGGCATCATGCTTTATCAAGAATGATGTATTGTTATCATGATTATTTCGCTTATACGCACAATGAGAATGGTAATTGATTGGAGTTCCAGCGGCTTAACGAGAAAGGGCTGCGCAGAGAAGTCATACAACTCGTTTCCATGACAACGTACCACTTCAGCCCTGTAGCATCCATGAATGATACAACTCCCAGCGGAGAAGGGGATCTTTATTATTAGGCGTCAATGCACGAGAAATCGGATTAAGAGCAAGAGCACACGGGTGCATGATATCGAGCAGGCTAATTATATTATGATGGGTGCCTTGTATTTTTTCTCTGCACACGATCTAGTGTTTGATCAAGGATGACATAAGACATGACTCGAAGGTATCGCTATATAGACATTAGTATTCCTTTATCTTGGTTTAAAATGTTACTACTTCTATTGAATTGTGATAATATTGATGATGACTACGGTGGTAAAGATAATAATAAGAACGATAATGATTATATTGACTATTACGATAATAAAATACTATTAACTACTACTACTGCTACTACTACTACTACTACTACTACTACTTCTAAATATCAACAATAAATCTAGCAATATAAAATATTTTGTCTTTTTCTCAAACTTAAATGTACTCTGTAAACTTATTTGATACGAACATACTTGTCAGTATTTTGTTACTTGTATAATTCATTTGTTCAATTATATATTTTATTACTGTATGGTTTATAATATGTCATTTAATTTGTGGAAATTTGAGTGGGAAAAAAATCAAATCAAATCAAATCAAATCAAATCGATGAATAATTATCATAACAATATAATAATAATAATAATAGCAGCAACAACAACAACAACATGAGCAACAAGAGCGACGTAAGATCCCTTTTCTTTTAATTGGGCTTCATTGGTTCACAATCATGAACTATTGTCAGCACATTTGAAAAAGGGTCAGTATTCTTTACAACCCCATAGGCATAGTAAATCGGGAGAGGGGGCACAATGATTGATTTACCCCCAATCAATCCATACTATATAATATATATCTTACATGTCTTGGGATTTTTTTAAATTTTTCCATTTCATTGCATTCATTCTTGACCCAATCTGGACGTTTTATAGGATAGGGGGGGGGGGGTTTCTTAGATCAAAGAATGGCATATATACTTTCATGAATTTACCCCCCAATTTTTTATTTTTTATTTTTTGTGTCAAATAAAAAAAGATTTGTGCAAAATTAACCACATTTTACTGCAATTACATGAAAGGTCCCTCAAATGGAATCATATGTGGTAGGCCTGCCAATATGACAAAATATAGAACTACACAATTATAAGTGCAAGGAGCCCCTTATTTAATTCATTATGATGTCACTATTCTATCTTACAATGCGCCCGGCTTTATACACACAACTAGCCAGCAAATACTTTCTCGATCGTATACAGGCGAATATAGGTTGTTACCAGCAAACGACTCAGCAAACATGATACAAAAGAACCTTCATTTTACCTGCGCCCAACCGTGTATACGAGAATGACTTTTATAATACAAGGCGAAAAGAGATAATACTTGTAGTTGGATCGTGTTTAAACCCCCTTACCTGAAAAAGCTCTCGTATTCTCCTTCTTTTGAGATACTTTTCTGAGTCTTCCTTCTCCCCCATTCTGGAGTGACTATGGAGTCTATTGGGATTCCTCAAATCTTTAGAACTCAGCGGCAATTGCAGAGAAAAGGTGGATAAGTTGGCCCAAACCTGCCTGTAATGTAACTCGCCAGAGGTATGTTGCAGGTAACCAAAGTAAATATTACACAAATTGAACACCACCCGGCGCGGTCGATCGTTTGCTTTTGTTGTATTTGTTCGGAGGCGTGGCGGATTTTAATGCATTAACCAATCACTGAACTGTAACCTCGAAAAGGGTAATAGATCACGTGATCACTCAGCAGCTCAGGTACACCTGACAAAATGGCGACTTCCATGGCGAAATTTTTCGTGTTGATGATTCTTGTTTTCCTGCTGAATTTACATTTAACCTCTTCTAATGTTTTAGAGGTAAGCATTGTTTATACATGTTTTCATTACCCCGTAGCTAACTATCACATTTGTAGTAATCTACCAGTACCCGGCATAATACGAGTACGACTGCAGTCACTTTTATGAATTTTGTTTACACTCGGGCTGAACACGTCCACGCGCATGTTTCCAGACCGCTGGGCCTCCGATGCTTCATCACAACTAAAGTCCTACTCGTGACTCCCTGGCGATGCGATGAGGCTAAAGTTAAGGACTTCTGAAGCAATCTACAAACAAGTAGATCAAGTTCTTAATTTGTCTTACTAGAGTCTTAGAGAGAAGAGTGTGGTGAAGGAATGATTGAAAAGAGGTCAAAACCCAAAGTAATTTAATATTATTAGACCTACGCTAAACTTATGAAATTTAATTTAGAGTCTAATAAAATTAAAAAGTGATCAAAGATTGAGACACAGACTCATTATTGATCATATTATTCATAATGCACATGGAACTTTACCCACTGAGTGCTGTACAGACTATGTACAGTGCAGTAAGTTAACACGCTCCCATTGGCTGACTGCTCGAGCGCTTTTGACTTAAGTGAGAGAGGGCCCAGAGTGCAATGACATTGATCATACAAAACTGTACCAAACCCACTGACATGTCATGCATTATTAAAGGTGATGCATGTCACACATAACTGATGCACACTAAGCACAGGTTCACACATACAATAGAAAAATCAACAAACATTTCAGTACAACTTGCAAGTTTGTACCTTAAATATGACTGTAATGATAATTTATCTAACTTATGAAAGGCTATATCTTGTTAAGGATGCTGAAAAATTCATACAAAATCGAGGTTCAACTGGAATATTATGAGTTTGTTATCAGATCAAACAGATTTGGTGATTACGAACGCATTTTACATGTAATAATAATAATAACTAGATTTGTAATACTTGTTTGGAACAAGTATAGGTGGGCTGATCCAACAAAAAATTGAGACAAAATGAAGGGTACATTTGAGATAGCTTTTTGTCTCGGCTACAACATACTCGAAGTTCAGCGTAAATGAAGCTAAAACGACGTAGATATTGCTCGGGAAAGACGGGAATGTAGAATCAAGTTTTGAGAAAAAGTCATGTCCCATAGAGAATACACGCAAAATGTGAAAAATTGACATGCCTCCTTTAATCGCACAAATTCGCCATGATGCATTTGTCAAAATGAACAATTGTGTTAACTGGATTTGTAGTGAATTATCTCAGCTAGAACATATCAAAATTTTGAAGAAAATCAATCAATTTTTAGAAAGATACAATCAATTTTCCAAAAATATGCTGACGTCATAATAGGCAAATTGAAATTTTGAGTTCAGAGGCCATTATGATGACGTCATGAGTTAATTGAGGGTCAAATGAGACATGAAAACATATCTCCGAATCATACTCAATCAAAATATGAAAAAAAATTGGGGTCACCTTGCATCCTAAAGAGCTACAATGGATTTTGCATAGGCATGTTTTTGCCCATATATGGTATGTATTACAAGAGCTCGCGCGCACGGTAATTTATGTTTAACGGTCGATCATTCCGTCATTAATAGTCATAAAGAGATAAACATGCTATCAATTTTTTTTTTTAAATATGTGGAATATTATGAAAGAAAAAAAATGGCGATTCTATGTTGTGCAATAGTTTAACGCGCGAAAACGCGCATGCATGCGCGTGTGCGCGATTTTTTATAAAATGCTTAGAATGGCCTAAAACATATGCAAAATGATTTTGAGCATTTCAAAATTTTGCGCGCGCCATGCGCGCGTTATTTGACCTGCAATTGACCGGACGGATATTGACCTTGATCATGATAAATATGAATGAGAAATAGCTTTTGGTTATGAAGATATGATCATGAGTTGTTTTTCGTAAAATTTTACAAAATGGCGCATAGATGACGTCATCTGTAAAGGTCAATGTTGAAAACATTATTGTGCTTTGTTCATATGCCTATACATATGTGTGCCAAATTTGAAGGCATTTGATTGAGCCATTTTCAAGTAATCGTGCTTACAAAAAAGTGGTTAGATGTAAGAAAAATAAATAAATAAATAAATAAATAAAGGCAATTCTAACGAAATTATAAGGTGGTCTGTACGTTATACAGCCCACCTGATAATATTTAATTTTTATATATCGCTTGTATTTGCACTCTTCATGCAGGAATATGGGTGCCAATTAAGGCTAGGTGATATCAGTATCATATTTCTTATTATTTCCTAGCCCTCAAATTTTAAGGCTAATTTGAAGAAAGAAAAAATAATATAATATTTTTGACCTTTTGTACATCCTCCCATCCATTTCCAGAGATTTGATATCAATCTAAATTCCTTTTTTGTACCTGATTAATTTTCACTTATCCATATAGATCTAGGCCGAATTCATTCTTTCATTTTTCTCATCAAATACAGAATGAAGCTAACAAGTTTTTCAGCAAAGGTCATACAAATAATTGGGCTGTGTTGGTAAGTGGATTTATAGTTATAGGCTTAAAATGTCATTAACAGAAACATTAATTAAAAAGCAAAAAATTCCAGACATAAATTTGGAAAAAAGTGTCATGATATATTTGATGTGCAGTCTGTAGATGATCATTTTGTAATGCCTGACTAATAAATGAGCAATTGTTATCTTTATTTTTATGCCTCCGCCACCGAAGGTGGTGCCGGAGGCATCATGTTTTCGGGTTGTCCGTCCGTACGTCCGTCCCGTTTGACCGTTATCACAATATCTCAAGAACCATTTAAGATTTAAACTTAAGACTCGGGAATAGTATTTATCACCATAGGAAGACGATCTGATTAGATTTTGGAGTACGTAGGTCAAAGGTCACAGGTCACAGAGGTCAACTTATGAAATTCCTTGTATTGAGTTTGTTAGCGCGATATCTCAAGAACCATTTGAGATTTAAACTTCAAACTTAAGGATAGTATGTATCACCATAGGAAGATGATCTGATCATATGTCCCCACAGTCCCTAGACTGATGAATGCTATAATTGTTCATCCATTGCTGATTTAACGATGGAAGTTTTCCTGTAAATTATGAAAGTGAAAGCTTCATATTTTGAACTTGAGAATTTTTATATAAAAGCAGAATTGCCTTAAGATACTGATTAACTCATTCAGTTATCAATCTAACAATGTCATAAAAATACAAGAACCTGGTACGATTGTTTCACATCGTGTATTTTGACTAAGTTTTTACTAATCAAAGCCCAATGGACACGGCAATCGGATTGAAAGACGAGAAGGAAATGCAAGCAAAAGTGAGGTTCTATGTTTCAATGATCCCAGGCTATATCATTACAAATGTTCTATCTTATTTATATATTTATGATGACATAGGATAATTAATCTAGTTATGTTTATTTGGTGAGTTGTTTCTGGAGAAATGTGATTTTTTTTTTTTAAAGAAAGACTATCTCGATGAAACATCTTATCTAGGGATCCTTGTCAGTCAGATCATACTTCTCTAATCAATCCATATATCTTAAAATGTTGTCACTCTAATATTGATTCTAGGTTTGCACATCTCGTTTCTGGTTCAACTATCGTCATGTAGCCAACGCCTTGTCTATCTACCACAGCGTGAAGCGTCTAGGAATTCCTGACAGCCAGATCATACTCATGATTGCCGATGACATGGCCTGTAACGCCCGTAACCCCAGACCAGGTATGAATGGAATAATTATTACCATTTTGTTTGCATATATGTACAGTGTTGTTAACAGTGTTCCATAGTCTCTGTGTTTGATATCATGCAATTCATACTTCCATTTTAGAAATTGGTTTAGTTTTTCCATATTGCAAATTTATGTTTGACATGCATTTGCTGTTGCCATGTTTGACAAAGTTTAAGCAAACTGTAAATATGTAATTCAAAGATAACATCCTACTTACTTTAAACATGAATACAATATATAAAATAATGATTCAAATATGCTGAATGAATAGTAGATTGTTTGATTTTAGAACCATTGGTAGATGCTTTAACCATAGTAACACTTACAGTTATTAATGATTTTGTTTTCCTCTCTCCTTTTTTTTCATCAACAGCTGCAGTGTTCAACAATGCTAACCAGCACATAAATGTGTATGGTGATGACATTGAAGTGGATTATAGAGGTTATGAGGTATAGTACATGTACCCTCTATTTACTATCAAATTAATATTTGATAATCAAATGGCTTACAAAGAAACTGCAAACTTTGGACAGATTATTTTTTTTGCTGAGTAATCAAATAGGAATACTTTCAGGATATTTTTAACTGGGTCACAATTTTTAATAAGGTGGTCAGCCAAAGTTTGTTGGGTTTCATTTTACTTTGAAAATACCATCACGTCAAGATTGCTAATCGAAAGGTCTTGCTAGACCAAAAGAAATCGCTTTGAACAAAGACGGATTAAAGCTTTTCACTTTGCATTCACCAGAGTGAAATTCAAGATTAAGAGCTTTAGTACATCTAAGTTCAAAGCTCTTCTCTGACTGTGGACTAACTAATTACTAATCACACCTCTATATTTGGAAATAACTATATTTTATTGAATTGTTAACCTTCAAATTAATCTTGTAAACCAGGTAACGGTTGAGAATTTCATCCGTGTGCTGACTGGTCGGCTGCCTCCCAGCACTCCACGTTCTAAGCGGCTCCTGACCGACGATCGCAGCAACGTGCTGGTGTACATGACGGGACACGGCGGGGATGGCTTCCTGAAGTTCCAGGATGCAGAGGAGATCAGCAGTATTGAGTTAGCGGATGCCTTCCAGCAGATGTGGAAGAAGATGAGGTGAGATTTACCAGAATTCTTGGTCCAAATGGAGTGAATTTAGTATTGTAGCAGTCCAGGGAAGTGTTTAGGAACACTTTCGTAACTTTGCTTGTTTTAAAATGTGCATCAATTTATTATCATTCTCTTGAAGTATTGTTTTGTTTTTGTTTATTTTGTTGGGGGTGTTTTTTTCTTTCTTTCAGGAAGTCCTATTTGCTTGGTATGAACACCAAATGTGTCGTGCACTGGCGAACAGCTGAGGACCTACATTTTTTATTGACAGGGTGGGGAATGGATGGGGCAGAGCTGATTCCATTTAAAAGCCGTTAATCTTTTTAGTTGACGTATGTATATGTTTACTAAAAAGGTGTCAATGCCATCATATATTGAATGAATGAATGATTGGACCAAGGAATTTGAATTACCGTGTTTACTTGTTAACAGATACCATGAGCTGCTGTTCATTGTGGATACATGCCAGGCTGTTTCGCTCTACAAGTATTTCTACTCTCCAAACATCATTGGCATCGGTAGCAGTCAAGTAGGAGAAGATTCCCTATCAGTGAGTTCATTGATCAGCCAAATATTTTATCTATACGGAGTAAATGATAATAATAATAATAATAGTTCGTCCTTATATAGCGCATTTCAGGACCGCAGGCCCTCTCAATGCGCTTTACAGATATATATTATTACCCCGGTCATCGGATTCATGCTTACCTGCACACAAGGTATGCACATTCTCCACTCCCTGGGGAGCATTCCAACCAGTCGCCATTTTACAAGCGCGATTGCTAATCAAACCACATTAGCTTTCGCATCCTACCGGGTACCCATTTAACACCTGGGTGGAGAGTGGCAAATGTAGATCAATGTCTTGCCAAAGGACATTAGTGCCGCGGTGGGACTTGAATACCTATACTTATATGTATTGTAATATGATTGATATAGTTGGCCAATCATACATCCATAGCGCATTTACATCACGATCTTCGGTGAGGACAAAAAAATGGCGGCAGCCAGATTCCAGTAGGATCGTGATGAAATGACCTTTTATAATTTGATTTATCAAAGAATGAGGAACAAGATCTGAGATTTTCTTAGTGATTCCAAATGACTGATATTATATTTTTTCAAATGCACAATTATTATTTTGTGACTTTCATTCTCCATTATGGCCAGGTCACTCATAGACGACGCACGGCCGGTGCATTGAAAATCTGAAAAAGTCGTGATCCCGACTTTTGTCAGGATTTGGGAGAAGCTAACGAGCTGACACCGAATGCAGAGCGTGTTGCCAGTGCGCTGCGCGTTTACAGGGCGTATGTCTGGCGTTAGTCTGTGCGCTCTGCGCATGTCTGGCGTCCTTTTGGCGTGTAAATTCATGCGTCGAGCTCCGGGCACACTTTTGAGCATGCTCAAAAAATTGGTCCGGCGTGCTCGATGAACAAGTAACGAATGATGACGCACTACTAGCGAACGGCAACGCACTGGCCAACGTTGCAAATTTCCAATGCGCTGGCCGTGCCTCCCCTATGCGTCCCCTATGTGTGACAGGGCCTTTAAAGTGCCTCATAACAAATGATTTCATTCACCTGTTCTAAATAAATGTATTTCAATAGTCTGAATGTAGACTGCATACATTAGTTGTTGCTAAGTATGACAAACATTATGGCTTGGCCTACATAACAATAACAAATGCATGCAACTCGCATTCTGACTGTAGAAATATTAGTTTCATTAAAATTGATTACATTACGAAAATGGCATATAGTTCTTACATGTGTGTTACCTTCTTTGTTGCAGCATCACCATGACTCAGCTATAGGAGTGTATATCATTGATAGATACACATACTATGTTCTAGAATTCTTGGAAAGGATGACACCTTCAAGCCAGAAAACAATGGATGAATTTGTAAGGATGAAGTTCATTTAATTTTTCTTTTAATTGCACTATGAAAGTTAAAGTGATAGAAACACCATTGCATAGACTTTCTAGAAAGCAGTCAAAGTGCAATATTAGTAGCATATTGAATCATCTATTGAAAGTTTCTCACATTACTTTCATAGCACAATCTGAGCATGATTTGTACAGGCAGTAGAGTATGCCATTGAAAATCACCCATAGTTGTTTTTTGTGCAAATTATCAATGATCATGTTAAACGTTTGCCTGTGTCAGTGAGCTATAAAACTATTTCCATATCCACAATTCTTTTTGATATTACCGGTAGACAAAATATGACCCTACAACTCAATACTTACAGAGTTATATGGGAAATAAATCTCAGAATTTAAATGATCTAACGGCTAAACAATTTTTTTATCATTATAAAGGGACAGCTTGTCCTCCTTATTTGTGACCAAATCCTAACGATTAACCCTCCTAAAATCACCATTGTGATAATTGGATACATAGGAAAGAAGGTCTTCTGCAAACACAGATAGGACTGTCATTTGCATGTTTTTGTTTCATTCAGACTATGTTATGTTAATTTAGTTTTTGTGTTTGCTCATATCACACAATTTTTGTTTAAAGATGAAGTTGAGTTCTGGTCATGCGATTGCATTGTGAAAGAAACGATGTGGAATCGACCAGAAAAGGTTGATGATCTAGCATATAAGAATTTGTGTGTATTGCAAGGTTCTGGAATCATCAAAATGATAAGAAATTTGGCCAAGTCTTGGTAGAGTTACAAACACTGTACACAGAAAGATGTATATGGGACTACACGAACACGTGGCGTAAAAATCCTACCCTGGATTTTTACAATATTACATGCCATATTTAGAATATGAAGGCATTTGAAGAGCCATGCTTTTCAGGGAACATGTCTTATCTGATGTTCTTCCACACTTGCATAATAAGAATGATAACGCTCACAAATTATTTTTCACCTCTTCCCAGAACTCAACCTTCTCATTAAAGTTTTAATTTTGTTGATGTTTTATTTACCATCAAAGTTTAATGTGTCTATAAGGACAGATCTGACTAATGACAATTCGTGATTTTACCCGGGTAATCTATTTTTATCCTATTTTTTATTCTCATTTTGGCTTTCCTTCCTTGTCACAGTTCAAGGTGTGTCCACAGCGGGTCTGTAAGTCCACTCCGGGGTAAGAGCAGACCTCTTTCAGAGAGACCCCAAGAAATCACTCGTCACTGACTTCTTTGGCAGCGTCCGTAACGTGGAAGTCTCCTCAACACAGCTGAACTTCTCCAGCGATGGTACTGATGATGATGTTTCTTCGGGCAGGGTTGATGATAGCAGAAAGACCACCGATGCAGCTTTGGATTATGTCTCTCAGTTCCCAGACGAATCCTTATTAAAACCCTTAGAAAAGGTAAGCATATTTTGCTGAAATACATGCAGGAGGTTTGTTAGCAAATGAAAGTGTATTATTACCCACTCATTGGACATGGTGAGACATGCATACTATGCATATGGCCGCCCTGATATAAAGTTGTTTTTAAATGAAGCAGATATATGAGAGAAACCGGTTAGTAAAAGTTTGAGCAATATATCCTATTAAAAATAGGAAAGTTATGAATATTTGTTGTCATCAGTGAAACAAAATTGGCAACACTAAGACACATTAGCTCCTCTCCAATTTGCTCTGTACAGACAATTTCATAAACTTTCATTTTCTAATTATTGATGAATGAATAGATTTGTTTCGTACATGGGATGTAAAAACAGATTTGCAATAATTATATTTAGGTGAATATATGATTGTAACATTTTTAAAGGGAAAATATAACATTATGAATTTTTTGGGTACAGGGCAAATGGGAGCTGAGCTCTCAAGATACGTCGCAGTTGCCAATTTGTGTTTTAAGAATGGCATCTTCAAATTTCATAACTTTTGTTTAATTTTCAATCGTTTTTTGCTCAAAATTTCCCAGATTTGTTTCTCTTGTTTTTTCTGCTACTATTAAAACCAAATTAATACCAGGTTGGACTTCCCATTTGAGATAAACATTTTTTGTTTGAATACAGGTCGTAAAAGAAGTGAGGAAAAATCACATTAAAAAAAAAATGATTATATAATTAACCATCTGTGTTAATTTTCATTTTTCATTTCTATTCACTACAAATAGTTTAGTTTGATCAGTCAATTACAATTTAATGTCACCTTGAGAAAAAAAATATCCTGATGCTTACTGGTGTCTTTATGAATATTTTTGTAAAACTTTACCAAACCTTGCATTGTCCATCAACAATAAGTATTATCAAATGTAGTTACACATATCTCCTATTCCCTACCCACTTGGGCAACAAGATGGATCCTTCTTGCTATTTGCTAATTTATCACACAATATTTGTTACCACATTCATAACAATGTTTTTTTGCTTCTCCATTTTCAGGACCAAAATGGTGTCAAGTTCTCAGTACCTTTTGTGATTGCAAGTAGCGTGTTCTTCGGCGTCGCTGGATTGGCTCTCTTTACAAGGACATTATCGTGACCCATGGCTGATAGTCGGCTTGTATGGTATAAGTTAAATTAATGATCTTAATAATAATAATATTCAGCTTTTATATAGTGCTTAATACATCTCGGACGTCTCTAAGCGCTTTACAGATATACTATTACCCTGGTCATTGGATTCAGTGCTTGCCCGCACACACTGTGTGCACAATCTCCACTCCCTGGGGAGCATTCCAGCCAGGCGTGACTTGACGCTCAAAAACTGTTTGACCAACAATGAAGATCGCATCCTACCGGGTACCCATTTCAACACCTGGGTAGATTTCACACTGAAATTTGTTTTGCATAGTTAAATTTCTGAATTGATGCATCAAGTAAATATTTCATCCTGTCTATTACCTCGACCAACACTGTGGAATGACATCGTGAATATTTTTCTCCACAATTTTACAGGTAAAAACACTTTCAAATAATTTTTTTTAAGTTTAAAAAGTCCTGTGACTGTGTCATATGCCTCACACAAATGCTTTTTGAGCTGTGCCTTATTTTTGTACATGTACCTTTTGAGAGCTAGGAGGGTAATAACTTTGCATTGAATTATTAGATAACCCCTATTCTCTTTTTAAAATTCTCAGCAGGCAATATTTTCAAGACATTGATATATATATATATACGGATATATGGTAAATTGCACATGAATGTAGCTTCATTTATGCACACATATTTTTTCTAGTTGTTATCTGTAAGCCGGACCAGTCATCCCTAAAATTAATGTATATACCGTAGGGCATTTAAATAAAAAATCCAAAATAATAACTAGTGACATACATAAAAGAGAAATCCAATCTTGAACGCAAACAACTCTTAGTGGAAAGCAGAAAAATCAGAGAAGTACCGGTAGACTAAAGAAGGTTTGAATGAAAATGGACAAAAACTGTGGAAGTTGTTAATTTTTTTAAGTTGTAACACTATAGGTATGGGTTCTTCAAATTGGCTGAAGCGGTTATGTCTCTTTGATGGAGTGTCAGACAGCTTTCCCACTTGTCTCTACACAGAAAATTACTAGAATTTCAATTTTTCAAAAACGTATGACCCTGGTCTTTTCTCTGTACAGGACTTATGAATATGATAATATGCTATCCACAATAGCATATTTTGAGTAATGCCCAAAAGAAAGGAGGCATTGAGGAGAAAACAGAAATTAAGGATAATTTTGTACACAACAAACAAAGTTATCCGCAACTACATCACAATCTTCTGAGAAAACTGCCAATGTGAGATTCACAGACTTAGCGATCTCATATTTCAAACATTCATACCTTTCTTATTATTGGTTTGATTTATTTCGCCTTTCTGTTTATCTCATTTTTCGGCTTTCATATAAATGAACTTATTGCAAGGGTTGGATTGCCCTTTAAGGAGTGTAAAGAGGGATAATCATTTCCTATTAATCTTTGAATACTAAGATGACATCAAATCATGTAACTCAGTATTCAAAATTGAATTATCTCTCTTTTATTTCAAACTGATGTTTCGAACTAGAATACAAACATGCAACCATAAGCATACAGAGCAAGGACAGAATTTGTAATTGTTCCTCATAAAACATTTATGAATGTATGAGCATTGATTAAAATACTCTAATCAGACCTGCGTGCAGTTGTTTAGAAACAACTTTGTACCTCAATAAAGGGTTTCTAAATGTAGTTCTGGCAAAAATTATAGAACTGATTACAAATCTTTTGTTTATGACTTGAATGGTAATCATTCAAAGTTTGTAGGTATTTTTAAACATATTGTGGGAACCAGACCAAATAGTGGGTTCAAGCATAATATTTTCACATTAGCATAATAATTTCCATTTAGTATTTTTACACAAATCATCTGTAATGCATTTTGCAAATCATTAATTGAATTACAAAAGAGAATGTATACATTTGCCATAATTTATGATTCTTCTTTTTTTTTTGGAATTAAAGTGTTGGCTGATTTGTCCTGAAGCTGTGCAGAATATCTATGCACCTTGCCAGAACTTCACATTTTTTCTATAGCCTAGATTTTGTAAAGACATTGATAGTACACAAATAAAAGCAATGTAAACATTTTTATTGATATATGTGATGTTTTAATGTTTGTATACAGACTATTTTTGTCTAACGTTTCTTCAAAATTCTGTGAAGAAGTTTTACATTCACTTACATGTACCTAAAAATCTACTGTGCAATTTTTGTGTCTGTCATTGTCGATTTTTGATATGCAATGTTATTGTTAAATAAAGTGGCCTGTTTATATGAAGTGATGTATTATTATTATCATTATTATTAGTAAGTTGTAGTAGTAGTAGTAGTAGTAGTAGTAGTAGTATTTTGTTGCATGTTATTCGCTAAATAAGAGAATATTGAAAAAAATAAAAGAGAGAGAGAGAGAGAGAGAGAGTAAATGAGGGAGAGAGGGAGAGGTAGTGATGTGCTTATTATAGAGCGAGAGTTAGACACAGATGCTCAACTTTGATGATTAAAATAAGCGTAACTTATTTTTCTACTCCATAATTTCCCTCTTCCCCTCAACATCTCTCTTTTTCATGTTTCTATCTCTGACTTTGCTTTTCCTACATTCCCTCTCTTAGCTATCTTAACTATTTCACATTGACTGCTATTCTTGTTAAACTCTTAATTTTCAAGTACGTGTGTACTTCCCAGTGTCTTAGATTTAAAAAGGGGGACGAACAGGAACGAATTTATTTTACATAGTTTTTAATAATAAAAGTAATATATAACGCATTATCCTCAAAAAGATTTATGCGCTTTACATAATATGGCATAATTTTAAGGGATAATTACAATTGCAAATAATTGAGATATTGTATACTACAGATAGGAAGAAAAATGCACAGTATACAAAAGATTAAGCAAATAATGAATACATTTTGTAGTTATATTTTTATGGAGCTATGAGTATAGCTCTTGAAACATAACAAAATGAAAAGTCATAGATAAATATATGACGACAACGAAGTGATAGGCTACAATACAGGGCAAAATAAAATAAGGCAAAGCAAGGTAAGAAGCTTTTTGTTTTCTTCTTTTTTCCCCCCAATTTTTCAGGAAATATTTTGCGCCGACTCAGCCAACCGCTGAATAAGCAGGAGGGGAGGGGGTGGGGAAATATTTAGCGGCGGCTTAGAAAAACAATATAGAAAAGTGGAATGATTTACCTTAATAAAAACATGTACTTGAAAATTTTATTAAAATTATGCTAAAAAAAAGCTCCAATTATGCCAGAATTTTGCTAAAAACAGCCAAATTATGCCAGGTATAATGCCAGATGCTAAAAGGGTCGTCTTCTTCGAATCGTCTTCTTTTTTAATAATTAAATGAAACGTCAAAGATTTCGCGCGGAAGGGTGGAACTGAATTTAGACAAGGGCACGATACAACGAATCGTCTTCTTTCTCTAATAATTTAATGAAACGTGAAAGCTTCCGCGCTTCGCGCGGGATGGGCGAAAACGAGTTCAGACAAGGATTAAGAGTAATGATTTAATGAAACGTCAAAACTTCCGCGCTTCACGCGGGAGGGGGGAGGGGGGGACTGAATTTAGGCAAGGGCACGATACAACGAATCGTCGTCTTTCTCTAATAATTTAATGAAACGTGAAAGCTTCCGCGCTTCGCGCGGGATGGGCGAAACTGAATTCAGACAAGGATTAAAGATACTATGTCCCTTTTGCAGCCAACATCAAATTCTGTAGAACTTTTCAAGAATTATGAATATGTCATGTATGTCCTATCTGTGAAATGTAAACGTTAGCAGTGTCCTAATATTAAAATTATGCAAGGAAACCCGTTTACTTGCTAGACTTTACTGTCAGACACTATTGATCGAGTGACTGACTGGCCTTTTTTTTTTCTTTGGTAATAACATACATAAAATTAGCTGTAAAGGGTTCATGAGCATTTGTCTACATCAATAACCCATTTCTGGTAGTGGCCAAAATTAAACTGATTGAATCTTTGCGCAGCATAAACGTATGACCATTGGGTACAATGGTCTGAAAATCATACTACTACTTACTGGCTCTATAGCTCTTAAGTCGATTCGACAACTAATAGTTGTTATTTTCCCACTTCAAGACAATTTTAAAGCCCCCCCCCCTTTTTTTTTTTTTAAAGGGAAGTTCTAAATTAGTATTATCTTTCAAATGCCGTTGGAATTTAACCTTTTCATTTTTTTGGGCCTGCATATGGGACATAGTACCTTTAAGAGTAATAATTTATTGGAACGTCAAAGCTTCCGCGCTTCGCGCGGGAGAGGGGGGGGGGGGGAACTGAATTCAGACAAAGATTAAGAGTCGAGAACGGTACGATGAGCCGTCTTCTTTCTCTAATAATTTAATGAAGTGTCAAAGCTTCCACGCTTTGCGCGGGAGGGGAAACACTGAAAAATAGCTTAGTTCCTGGCCCCCGGTTTATAGGGTTTAATTAGTAGACATTGGGACATTGGCATTAATATATTTGTCGGTAATTGGTAGCTAGTTTTGTCGGTAATCGTCGTTGGCCTCTACACCCTCCCCCACTGAAAAAGGTCTAGCGACACCCCCGTATACACTCGAGATAATTTGTGCAAGTACTACTGGTGAAGTACCACACCACCGTATTTATGCATTGGGCAGCAACGAAGCATATACAACGTCTCACGTCGTGACAGATCACTTTTCTCTTTCAAGGAAGTGCTGGTGGACCTTAATGCGCCAAGTGTGGTTCTCAAATTGCAAAAGATCCCTACTCTCGGAGGGGGTAGGAGAAAGCAATTTTACGTCATATTACTCCAGGAAGTGCCTCTAATGTGGTTCTAAAATTGCAAATGCTTACTATTCTTACTATTCCAGGCCCACCCCCGCTTGGTCGCTCCTCTCCCTCGCCGCTAAAGCCTCCTTCTGTCGCTTCATCGTTTTACATATATTTCACCCCATGCCATTTTGAGCCCCCCCCCCGGTCGGTAAGAAATTCCTGGATCCGCCACTGATGCCCATACCCGGCCTTGAGCATCGGGGGCTCCGGCCCTTGACCTCCGCCGGTGTTTTGCCCCTAGACCCCACTTTGAAAACGTTCAGCGGGGCCAGCATGTAAGAGTGGGATGATGTGGATTTTTTTTTGTCAGCCCCCCCCCCCCAACGTTTTTGCTCATTACGCCACTGTGTACACATGTACATTGTAAACATAATTGGCAGTTAACTAATTAGCAGTTGGTTTCGGTTTCATTTTGGATACACTGTAAGACCCGGTCCCACCTATCATATATGTCATAGACATAGGGGCATAGAAACAGATTACAAATAAATGTAATTTCTATGGATGAATTCATGAAGAATTGTCTTTGCCTTAATATTCGTGACAGTTTCATATTGTTTTGTTATAGCCCCCCTACTCCCCCCCCCCCCCCAACCTTCAAAAAAGAAAAAAAAGGTCTGCTATATTCCTGAAACCACAGGGTGGTACCGGTAGTCAATGGGCGAGTGGGACCGAGCTTTGTCAAACTGCGCATCACGAGTTTCTCAGTACTTTCACTTCCAGCGTTCAGTGTAATATGTATAGGTATAGGATATTATTAATCAAAACTGAATGAAGCTGCCACCATGGACGCACATCAAAACCTAACGGAAGAGCAAAAGGCGACGGTTGAAGCTTATTGCCATGGGATCGATGAATTTCTGGTAAAATTCAAAGAAAGTCGAGATTTAGAGGCTGTAACCATCAGCAATGATAAGAGCATACTCGTCAAGATCGACCATCTGAAAACTGGGGACGCCAAATCTGCCATTATCAAATACTTGGTCTCTCATGATGAAATCTTTGAGATATTTACGCTGGTTTGGAAGACCCTTGGAAAAGGAAACATCTCCACTTCCCGCAACAAGGTGGCCTTGGTGAATTTGTCGATTGGGATTAGCAATCTAATAGATTATTCAGACGAGTTCGCCTATGCCTTTGGCGAGAAGGGTCTTCTAACTTTGGTCTTTCGAGATCTCCAGACGGGAACTCTCGGCGACAGGCACATCAGTCACGCACTGACGATGATCTACAACTGTTGTTGGAGAGTTCCCGAGAACAGAGTCATATGTCGAGAGTTCGTTGATACCCTCCAGGAATGTTCACAATCGAAGAACCCTGAGATCCAGGCCGATGCCTTCTTGGCGCTTTCCTACATCGTAGACAAATCAGAAGTTCATAAGATATCCCTAAATGAACCATGTCTGGAATTCCTCCTGCTGACTCTTAAGTCGGCCATGGGTGAACCAGATGGCCGGTCTCATCACGGCTACTCGACAGTGGAGATCCTCCAAGGACTCAACCAGCTGGCCATCAACGACTGCAACAAGCTTCTCATCGTAACACTTGGTGGGATAGACGTCCTGGAGCGAATCCTGATTGAAGAAGGATCAAACAACGAAGAAAAGCTTTGGGCTGCCCGAGGAATATGGCAACTGGCTTTCAAAGAAGAGAACAAAGTCAATATACATCAGCGTTCAAAACTCCTCAACAGTAAGTGGGTGCTTATAATCTTAACAAATATATTACATATGCTATGGCAACAGTTGCTCCCTGCTCTATATATTACAATAATCGAATTATTAACTTAAGCCCTAGACTGAACATTAAACCTCACCCTAAACGAAAACCTAATTGCATTTACACTGCAACCAAATGACGTCGATTTTTTTTCTTCTTCAAATTTTGGTGTTTCGCCAGTTGTTGCAAAAACTACCGGCATCATTTTCAATGGCAATCATGCAGTCTATCAAAATAATTAGCGTGGCCTTAAAACATAGTTTTAAGATACAACTAACAATCCAAGATATAAATGGACGTCATCGTTTACTCACTATCCCTATTCCCCAATCTCCCACAACACACACACACACTCTCATCTTTCTTTCTCTTTCTTACTTTTCGTCTTATGCTTCTGTTTTCCATAGCTTTTCGTCATTTTGTTTGCGGTCTCTGTATTGTATAAAAAGAGGACTTGGCACCATATCAATCGCATGTCTACATCGACGAGTAATCTCAAGAAAAGTGGTTAGGCCTATGTCTACACGACAATAATGTAAAATGATTCATACATTCTTAATGTCAACTATGAAGATATTTTATTATTTTGTTTCCTACATTCTTATCGATAGCACTGAAGAAGATTAGGGAAACGACTGAGAATTCTGATGTCAAGGACGCCTGCTCGGGTGCACTCTTCGTCATCAATGACGTGATCGACATCGATGACGCGTTCAAAGGTCACACCCCTACACGTGGAGATCCTGGTCACAGTTCGGCGAAGAGTGAGGTATCGTCTGGTCATGTCGAAGGTCATATTATGATCAGCTACCAGCATGCAAGCCAGGAGCGAATGCTGCGAGTCAAGAGCTATCTGGAGGAATTGGGATACAACGTATGGATGGATGTGGACAAAATGAGTAGGAATTATCATACCTTTCCTCCTTTGATCATCATCCGTTCTTCTCTTTCCACCGCTGTTTATTTCTTTCATTCATTTATTGTTTTTATCCACCTTTGTTTCTTTCTTTCCTTCTTTCTTCTTATTTAACCACTATTCCTTTCTTTCATTAATTCTCCCTCTTTTAATACAGAACCACTATTTCTTTCTTTCATTCATTCTCACTCTTTAACCACTCTTCCTTCTTTCACTCATTCTCCTGCTTTCACATCTATTTATTTTCTTTTTCTGTATTCAATGTTGATGTAGCGTGGGTCTTATATTGAGTTTTGTTGCAGAGGGCGCTACACAAAATATATTTTGTGAGATAATGAAAAACTGAATATCAAATTTGAAAGATATAAAATTTAATTGACAAAATCTTCTTTGTTTGACAAAAATCGGCTTAGAGACGGCTGAAATATCAAAAAATATAACCATTTCTAATATTTTGGTGCCCCACAAATATTCGGTAATTTTGAACCAGCCTTTGAAAAACAAAATAGCACCTTATTATTACTTAATTGATTAATTAACTGTCACCGTATTTTTTTGAAAATAGATGAATTGGTATGACCGTATTCAATCTAAATTCACACATCTTGGGGTCTAAAATTACCTTCATAGCAATTTTAGGTTCTAAAAGGTCACTAGAAATGTCATAAATAAGAATAAGAGCAATAACCATTCACTTTGAAGGCATTTGCGGTCTTAAAGATACTTTGTCCCTTTTGCAGCCAACACCAAATTCTGCAGGAATTATGAATATGTGATGTGTGTTCTATCTGTGAAATTTAAACGTTAGCAGTGTTCTAATATTCAAATTATGCAAGAAAACCCGTTTACTTGCTAGACTTCACTGTCAGACATTATTGAGTGACTGACTGGCTTTTTTCTTCTTTGGTAATAACATACATAACATGAGCTGTAAAGGGTACATGAGCATTTGTCTACATCAATAACCCACTTCTTGTAATGGCCAAAATTAAACTGATTGAATCTTTGCGCAGCACAAAAAGTACGACCATTTGGTACAATGGTCTGAAAATCAGACTATTACTTACTGACTTGGTTGCACTTAAGTCGATTCGACAACTAATAGTCTTAAGTTTAAATATAGATCATAAGTTATTTCTTGGGGTGAGGTTTCCTTTACAGAAACAACAAGTCTGTCCTTCTCTCTTCATATTGTGCATCTATTTCACTTTCATGTCTTTGGTTTTTAATAACAGAAGGTGATATACTGGATTCCATGGCCAAGGCAGTCCAGAGAGCTTCGGTCGTCCTTGTTTGCATGAGTCGTAAATTCAATGAGAGTTATCACTGTCGCACAGGTGAGGCACAACAAATACACATTACTGCTGTTAATGGTGTAGCGTACAGGTCCAGCCATGGAGGGGCACTCGTGTTAAATATAAAGGGACGGAAGGGGGCACTGGTCTAACTTGAACGATAAAATTGAGAAGTGATAGGTCATTGCATGTGAAGGAAGTGTGGGTAGTCCATATCATCATCTCTTCATGTTACCACCTAGGGGTCTCCTTTTTCTTTTTCTTTCTCTTTCTCTCTCTTTCTCTTTTATATTTGCCATTCGGAAATGATGCTCTCTTTTCTTCTGTTGTTAATTGTCAACAATTATTAAACTCCTCCCCCCCCCCCCTCCGACTAAACAACACTCATGGTTCTAGATTCAATTAAATTCAAATGTTATTGATTAAAATCTAAACAAATAGGATCATTCTCAATTTTGTATAACATTGGATACAAAAATTCAAAAATATAGTTTAACATACAATGTAGTTCACTGAGAGTAAGATGTCCGATGACAATAACAAGGAATGACAACAAGTAACGTACTTCTCTATGTCTCTTCTGGAATATAATACAGAAATGAAAATAAATTAAATTACTCGTAATACTTTTTACATTTTGTTTCCTTGTTTTTTCTTTCTTTTTTCATTTCAAATAAAAAGAAAAACCAAAGAAGAAAACAAATACAACATGATAGTTTGGGGCTTCTCGAATTCGTGTTTACCAACCCCTCCCCACGAGATGACCGCGACAATACGACCCTATTCCAAATCCAACTTCGTGGGAGACAGTGAGCATTGGATGACAATAAATAATTCTTTTCACAATACTTAATTTAAGCGAGATTAATTAATCTAGAAGATTGATTCAGGATGGGGTCTTCGGCGAGGGAGGGGGGGGGGGGAGTGGTGGGGCTTCTCGAATTCGTTTTCTACGTTCGCTTCAATCAAAGTCATTTTTTATAAAGATTTGTTTTCTTTTGTTTGATGTTATACGTGTATCTATCAGAAGCGACTTACGCCTACACCCTAAAGAAAGACATAATTCCACTGAAGCTTCAAAATCAATTCTACCCAGAGGACTGGCTCGGTGCCCTCATGGGAATGAAGAAGTATTACAGTATGTTTTCAGACGATCTCATGAAACAGTACCTACCAAATCTAGTCCGAGAGCTAGGCGATAGAGGCAAACGTGAGAAACTAGATCTGGTCGTGCCGCTTCTTGATCAGGTCACAGGTAAGCCTTCTTTTGGAACTCTTCTGTATGCGTCGTACCCGCAGTGTGTTTTGTCATACAGTTTCTTTAAACAAAATGCACTAGAAAATGAATATGTACATCCGATATACAAATATCTTTCTTTCTTTGCAGAAAGAGAATGGTCTAAGAATATTCTAATTGATCGACGAAACATTTGATTTTCGTCCCCCATCTATAATAAAAACTTGTCTAAATCACATGAGTGAAAGGGATTCCGCAGGAGTTTCTCTGGTACACCCTTACCTATAAAATTATATAACTCTTCACGACTGTGTCTTACTCCTATCATGCCTGTAGGTGCAAGCAATCCAACAGCCCATGCTCAAAGGCAAGGGGATGGAACAGCGGAAGATGACGTAGACTGCAGTGGAGGAATCAAGCATGACAAACCAACAGGCAATGAAGACGAGGGGAATTCCCGCTCGCAAACAGCTGTAGATCTGGTCAAGTGGGATGAAAAGGAAGCGGGAACATGGCTGAGATCGCATGGCGTTGATACGAGCAAGGATAGTTTCAAGAAAGTAGATGGCAGCAGCTTGAAGCAGCTCAAGAAAATGCTAAATCTGGCTCCAGAATTTTGCATGAAGTCTATGAAAGACGAATTGGGTCTTGGCTTATGGGATGTCCTCGCGCTAGTAGATGCGTTGGAGAAGCTCTTAATTTGAAGAATCAGTCATGCACCATTCATTAATAGATGCAAATAGGAGATGTTATTGCCGAAAGGATTACAATGAGAGTGGTGGGGCAATTACAATTCTCAAAAAGATTTTTAGAACAACCAAAACAGGGACAGAATAACGTTTAACAGAACGTCTGATAAATTGATGCATTCGTCTGAACAATAATCAGTACTAATTTGATGAGCAGTTTTTTAATCTACAGGGCGGGTATGAGAGGTGTTATCCCCTCGTAAAACAAAGAGAGAGAGAGAGAGAGAGAGAGAGAGAGAGAGAGGGAGTGCTGTAAATTTAAGAAATCGTCACTATTACAGGGAGTGCACTTTGGATTCTACCAAAATGACCGGTTTCCATGATTTTATGATGTAAATGGTTTTAAAAATCTAGATGCCCCACATAATATAAAGTGAGAACGCGTCCTTGTATTGAATAATAAACCTTGATCTACAACTACTTGCATCGACGGGGAATGGAACTCGGTCGCCCACGTAGCAGGCGAACATTCATCCACTGAACCACTGATGTTTACGTTGGATAGTTTTATTTCTGTCAATTCATTTTGTTACCTTTTTAAATGCTGGAAACACTTATTATTGTGTGTAACTAACCTTTTCATAGAGAATACGGAGGCAGGAAGATGGAGGTTTACCTTCTATGCCAAAGAATAAAACAGAATGCTTTAAACAGTGTCTTCATTAATAGCATGTTATCAATTTGACAGATCATTGAAGAAAAACAAGGCCCCCTCTCTGAACACTTTTAAATACATGTTCAAACAATCTTGTAATGTCCGTTCCCAATAAAAGAGAATGCCGAGGGGTTTCTTTTCCGTTTCGCCGTGATTGATTTTAAATTTTAAATTCTCATTGTATTCCAACGTATATTTATCATTGGTTTATGATGCGTTTACAATAAAATACAGCTGTATGTCCAGTTCTTATATCCATCCTCGTACTTGATGGACCTTGCTTCATAGTTCTCATAATTTAGGATGGCATGAAACTTTTTAAATTGAATGAATGACATCATTCACTATCAGCATGAAAGATATTGGTATGTTAAATTGTTCACTATAGTTTGTATATCCAAATGCTATATTAATTCCAATCAACGTTTATTACTATTACATGTACTTTGTAGTTATGCTTTGTAAATATGTATATTGCGATTATGATATCTGGAGTTTGGACTATTTTGAGCCAAAATTGTCTTTCTCCTGTCTTATAAAATAATGATTATAGTTCAATCACCTGAAAACTAATTACCGTCTTTATATGTAATACGATAGTATCATTAAGGGGACATTTAATAAGTTGCCTCACTGAAGACCACCCGTAAAGGTGAACATAAGCTACCCTGTACAAATATCAGAAATATATGAATAAATAAGAAAATACTTTCAACTAATGTAAAATTAGTGGTTTAGATTTGCTAATACAGTGGGAATTGTGTAAAATTAAAAAATAGAGAATGAAGTGTGAAATATTCTATTGATTGTAACAGAAAGAAGGAATGTTATATAGAATATCTTGAATCAATATATAAAAATATGTGTCAAGATTATGAATACAATGTATGTTATATATTAAGTGTAAGATTTTAAAAGAATTGTATGGAATGGGATACATTTATCGGCTGAGCCAGTAAAATGTCTGGGGATATATTTAAGTAAAAAATAAATAATAAAGTTGTGGCTTAAAATTGGGATAGGAAAGTTATCTTAGATATGTGGGGAAAGTGTAATTCATTACGGTGAAAATCAAAATATGTAATTTTTAAACATCTATTAATTAATTTAGCTTTTCATGTTTTATATACACAAAAGAGGAAATGTAATTTTGCATACATATTCCAAATTTATGCAAAGGAAATATTGTGGAGGGCAGAGGTTAGAAATTAATAGGCCTAACTCTGGAAAAAAAGGAAATTATGTTACGTATAATTGAGTTTGTGATATAAGTATAGTTCATCTGTTTTTTTCTTTGTTATCATTATAATTGATTTACTTTGTACCTTGGTCATAATTGAGATATGTAAATATGCACTTTGTTACAAATATTGACAATGAAATATTATGGAATAATAGTAAACTACTTTTGATAACCATACATTGCATTTTAAGTTATGGGAACAAATTGGGATTTTTAAAGTTAATATATGATTGATCAAGGGCATTGGAACGATGTGGATATCATGTGTCCAAAATATAAGTTCCCAAAACTGTTTTGTTTTCTTCAACTTTTCAAAGGTGAAGAAAGCCTTTCCAAAAGTGTGGGATGATTACCTACGTATTGGTTTGTTCCAATTACGTCACTCTAAATGCATACAAATATCAACGGGTGATGATATTGATATTTTAAAGATCTACTAATTCTTTGTGCAGAAAAAAGAGGAAAAGTTGATTGTTTAGCAATGCCCTTCGATTTTCATTGGAATCTAGTATTGATTTTTTAAAGTTTAATGCTATAAGTGATAACAGAATCAAACAATTTAATTTTAAACTTTTGCATATGTTTTTACCGTCAAAATGTAATTGATATAAATGGAAATTTCAAAATGATTATGTATGTGAAGATTGTAATACCATTGAAACATCACGCCATACGATGCTTTGGAGAAATCAAAATAATACAGTTTTTAAAAATATATTAATTACTTTTGCTTCTTATATTTTATATACACAAAAGAGAAAATGTAATCTTACAAACATATTCTAAATGTCTTTAAAGGAAAATGTTATGGAGGGCAGATGTTGAAAAGTATCACCTCTGGAAAAAATATGTAAATTAGGCCTATGTAAAAAAAAAAAAAAAAAAAAAAAAAAAAAATCGTTCGTAAGTTTTCCACTAAAAGACATTTTCAAGCCCTCTCGTTTTGAGGGAATTTCTAAATCAGTATTATCTTACAAATGCCGTTGGAATTTTACCTTTACACTTTTTTGGCCTGTAAATGGAACATAGTACCCTTAAGTATTTGTTCTGGTATTACTATTGACTGCGAAAAATTTGAAATCATATATTTAATGCAAGACCTAAAAAATGGAATGGAATGGGATACATTTATTGGCTGAGCCAGTAAAATGTCTGGGTATTAATGTAGGTAAAAGTATATAAAAAGTGAGGCTATACATTGGGATTTTGAAATTAAAAAAGCTTAAGTTATCTACGATATGTGAAGTATGCCTAATTCAACATATTACGGTGAAAATCAAAATATGTAATTTTGTTTCATCTATTAATTAATTTAGCTTCTTATGTTTTATATACACAAAAGAGAAAATGTAATTTTGCAAACATATTCGAATTTATTTAAAGGAAATATTAAGGAGGGCAAATGTTGAAAAGTATTATCTTTGGAAATAGAATGTTTATTATGTTTAAACAAATTTATAATTAATTGTGTGATATGAGTATAATTGATGTGTTTTTGTAAACAGTATGAGTGAGTGTTTTTATGTAAATATTATTCAATTAATAAATGATGGGGGAAAAATTACGGTACAACTTTGATATTAAAGCTTTTAGTTGTGTCACAAATTACATATGTGGTGACTGCTATTCCAATACCACATAATGTTGGTTGTAAAAACATAAGATGATGTTTACATCTTTTTTAATGGGGGTCTTAGAAATAGAAAATAAAAATAAATGTATATTTGAATACATTTCTGAAGAGGGTTTAGGAATGGTTGGTTTACAGGCAAAGGTCGGTTCTGTGCGACTTTCTTGGATAAGGAGATATCCTGACGATGAGAAAGCCCCCCCCCCCCCCCCCCCCCCACTCCAGGGTCGGAATGACCGCATGCGTGTTACCAAAATGTCCGGTAAAGGGGAACTTTTCGTGCGACAAAGTCCGGCCAGAGAATTGTAAATAAGGGGGTGTATTTGACTTTTCACCCGGAGATTTCTTTAAAAAGGGGGTGTTTTTTCTTTTTTTTCCTCTCATCTCTTTGGACTCCTGAGAAATTATTCTGAATTTAGGGGGGTACATTGAGCATTTTCTCGAATTTAGGGGGGTCTCCAAGGGCAGGAAAGGCCCGCGAAAGCCCGCGAAAGGGGGGTTCGGAAATGTTGGCATTCCTCAGATAGGGGGTGCTTTCAAAAAGAGGGAACAAGCATACGCGTACCCTAAATAACACTGAGTGGGGGGGGGGGGGCGGGTGAGAAAGCTACATGGAAAATTGTATTTTCCTATTGGTTAAATAGGGTAAAGTAAAATTCCATTGGTGTTTCAGTTTAATTGTAATAGCAGAGAGATGGGGAAACTATGTTAAATGTCTAGGATACCCCAATTTTACTTACAAATATGAATAATTAAAAAATATTATAGAATATAATTTTTGGGGGAATATAGATATTAACATTGATATAGGATATGATATAGGCAAGTTACATAATAACTTGGTACAGATTTTAGTATGAATTGATGTAACATTTAAATTGTAAAACAAAGGCAAAGGTCAATGAAAAACGTTTGATAGATATGCTAAAATAAGGTTTTAATTTCATATGTATATCTATTATTATGAACGTTGCAGATATGTGAAATAGAGTTCCCTGAACAAATCAACTAATATAAAGACACAGTGGAAGGTGAGGCAAGATGTTTATACAAACTCTGTTTAAACGTCAGTAAATAAGAAGAAATCACAAAAACATTTTTCAGACATTTTGGTCTTGCCTCATACCCAGCTCTGTAAAAAATGTTGGGTAAAAAGGAACAGCTCAATATGAGAGTAATTGTCTTGTAACTGGGGGGGGGGGGCAATTTTATGCTCAACTTTAGTACTGATTAGCCAAATATACGACCCGCACTTACAAACTAAACTAAAAATCCTTTATTTCTTTTTGTTAACCTGCACTTTCCCAATTTGACAAGATAATGCAATTCTTCTGGATGCTTCAAAGATAAATAGAACAATATCCTGAATGACCATTAAACAAAATCAACATATATCAAGCAATTGTTGTTGTTTTTCTTCCTGTTGTAGTTGTTAAATGATGTACAATAAAAAGAAAAGAAAATGATGTTCAATGATTGTACAATGCGATTTGGAGCTTTTGCAAATACATGTAGGTCAAAATTCAAATGTGTCAACCATGGTCTGACGATCACTGGCGTATCCCCCCCCCCCCCCAAAAAAAAAAATAAAATAAAATAAAATAAAATAAATAAATAAATAAATAAATAAATAAAAAAAATCGAACCATGACCAAGAAAAGAAAGGAATGAGAAGAGAAGAAAGAAAGAGAAAAAAGAAAAAGAGGAAGGAGAGGAAAGAAAGGAAAAGAAAGAAAAGAAAGAAAAGGAGAAAAGGGAAACAAAAGAAACGGGGGTGAAAGAGAGGAGAGAGAGGGGGTGGTAAGAGCCTAAAAGAAGAGGGGTGGGAGTGGGAGAGCAAAGGGGATGTTGGGTGGAGTCGCCACGTCGAGGGAGCAAGAAAGATACGCATAAATAATTGTGTTGCTGTGTCGGGTCCACTGTGTCGGTTTTCTTGCTCGTTCCTCGTGTACCATATCAATGCAGAAGTTTGAAGTCGGTGAGATGTTTAATGTCGGTCGGCCGGCAATTTGTTTTCTCCCTACGAACTCGGACTTTTTATCAGACAAAGAAACATTTTTGAAAATTCAGACAATGATTAAGAGTCGGTACAACGAATCGTCTTCTTTCTCTGATAATTTAATGAAACGTCAAAGCTTTCACGCTAAGCGCAGGAGGGCGAAAACTGATTTCAGACAAGGATTAAGTGTCGAAAACAATACAACGAATCTTCTTTCTCTGATAATTTGATGAAACGTCAAAGCTTCCGCGCTTTGCACGGGAGGGGGAACTGGATTCAGACAAGGATTCAGTGTCTAAAAGAGTACAACGAATCGTCTTTTTTCTCTAGTAATAATTTAATGAAATGTCAAAGCTTCCGCCTTTTGCGCGGGAGTGAGGAAACTGAATTCGGACAAGGGTTGTGAGTCGAAAACAGTACAACAAATCGTCTTCTTTCTCTAATAATTTAATGAAACGTCAAAGCTTTCGCGCTTTGCGCGGGAGGGGAAACTGAATTCAGACAAAGATTAAGAGTAGAATTCAGTAAAACGGATCGTCATTTTTCTCTAATAATTTAATGATATGTCAAAGCTTCCGCGCCTTGCGCGGGAGGGAGGAAACTGAATTCGGACAAGGTTTGTGAGTCAAAAACAGTACAACAAGTCGTCTTCTTTCTCTTATAATTTAATGAAACGTTAAAGCTTCCGCGCTTCGTGCGGGAGGGGAATCTGAATTCAGACAAAGATTAAGGGTAAATTCAGTAAAACGGATCGTCATCTTTCTCTAATGATCTAATGAAACGTCAAAGCTTCCGCGATTTGCGCGGGAGGGGGAACTGAATTCAGACAAGGATTAAGAGTCGAAAACAGTAAAAACGTCAAAATTTCTGCGCTTCGCAAGGTTAGGGAAAACTCAATTCAGACAAGGATTGAAAGTAAATGTTTATGAAACGCATCGTCTTATTTCCCTAATAATTTAATGACACGTCAGAGCTACACGCGGGAGGGGGGAACTGAATTCAGCCAAGGACTAAAAGTAATATTTGAATGACGCGTCACAGCTTCCGCGCTTCACGCGGGAGGGGGGAAACTGAATTCAGACAAGGACACGATACAACGAATCCTCTTCTTTCATTAATAATTTAATGAAACATGAAAGCTTTCGCGTTTCGCGTGGTATTGGCGAAAATGAATTCAGACAAGGATTAAGAATAATAATTAATTAAAACGTCAAAGCTTCCGCGCTTCGCGCGGGGGGGGGGGCTGAATTCAGACAAGAATTAAGAGTCGAGAACGGTACAACGGATCGTCTTCTTTCTCTAATTATTTAATGAAGTATCAAAGCTTCCACGCGCGGGAAGGGAAAATTGAAAATAACTTAGTTCCTGGCCCCGGGTTTACAGGGTCAAATTTGTAGACATTCGGACATTGGCATTAATATATTTGTCTGTAATTGGTGGCTCGTTTTGTAGGTAATCGGTGGCCTTTTCACCCTCCCCCTCTCCCACTGAAAAAGATCTAGCGACGCCCCTCATAAAAACACAGTTTACACACTCGAGATAATTTTTGCAAGTATGAAGGGGTGACCAAAGTTCGCGGACATTTTAGAACACATTACAAAATGTGATATTCGAACTATGATTTCTCATATTCTACACAAATTTATTTATTTCAATTATTACCAAATGGACGGCAAATTTTTTTACTACAGATTGGTTCAACTAGAAAGCTTATCGTCGAAGGATTTCGGAGATATCGCGATCTAAAAATTCAATGTCCAAACGTTCGTGCGCGCTGCATCTAAAAAAGTCATAAAAACAACGAGACCTAACTTTACGCACGGGGGTTCACAGTTAATTTATCAAAAAGTGTGATCCATCAAAAATAAGGATATATCATAATTTGCAAGGCAAGATATCATACAATCATTTAGGACCACTTTTTACTTACAATTTTGAGGAAATCTGCTCTCGAATTGAAGATTTTCAGACCCTTATCGGTAAGTTGATCATTTTTCGGAACGGACGCAAAATATTGCAAAATTTGCCGATCTTTTGTCAATATTTTCACAATTTCGTACCCAATTCCACAGAAAATTTTACCTCCGGGTAATTTTATGTTCCACTTTCCATTGGTAATCTTACTGATTTTTTGAGATAGCGAACTTAGGTCACGCGCGCACTTTGGTCACACCACCATACAACTGGTGAAGTACCGGACCACCGTCTTTGTGCATTGTGCGGCAACGAAG